GCCTGAAGAGCAACAAAAACCGCGAAAAAGGTCGTGACCAAAACGCAGACAGACAGACAGATGGACAGATAGATAGACAACGATGTTAGGACGGTTCCTGTTTGATGCTACTTGCTCTTTAAAAAACAGCAAATGAAGTAATCAATAATGACGATTTTTCATAAATACGTTGGCAGAAATTTACAGGAAATCGCTGGAGACAATAAATTGTTCACTTGACTGAAACAGAGTACCATCAACCACTTGCATCAGCCATACAACGCATGCATATTTGTGCTATAATTCCGGTAATGTCTAAAGAGTCGCACCGTCTCTTCCTGGGTTCGCTACTTGACATATGTATGAAGAACCCACTTTGCGAGCACTAAAATATTCTAAGCATGCATGGTTTTTCAATCTCATACTGTTCTGCATTTTTTCAATGATGAAACTGGTACCGTTCATTCCACTGAATTCGTTTCAAGCTTCACTTAGTCATTTAACCACCATTCCATTATACGACAGCATGATATGAACCCCCAATAAATTGAATGGGATCAATATTCTTCTCGCCCTCAAATCCCATTGTGTGTTGAATGGCAGCCCTTTGGTTGGCCGCTTCCTCCTTCCTGAATATTGTATCTCTGTGTATTCAATGAGAGTAAAATGAAAAAGGAAGAATCCTGAACGACTAATTTTTTCAAGGTTCATTTTTCTGATGTCGAAGAGAATGTCACCGGTTGGACTACGGAGTGATGGTCTATCATCAAAATTCAGAAGATGCATCAAGAAGAAACCATAGGTTATCGAAAGTTCACATAATACACCCAAATCGCGAATGTCAAACCACAGGAAACGAAGTGTATAGGTCAAATCGAATACATTTCGTTCATTTACAAAATGCCTTCAGAACGTATCTGTTTCCAATCAAACTGTGGGGCGTTACGAGGGAGGTCTTTATTCTAGCGAGTGTATCCACAAGTCGTGGATAGAGGGACGGCCGTTAACTCGCGATTAACAGTGAATAAGGTAACCCTAGCCGGTCTTGCTGGCGTTGGCGTGGCTCTCAGTGAAAAAGCTGAGAGCGCTCTCCTAGAATGGTTCCCAATCGACGGTAGGTGGTGCACAGTGAGACTCAGAAGTTCATGTAAGGTAAGCAAGCATCGCTCCGATAGACGAAACCCGTTTGTAATGTCGGCACACGCCACAACGGACTGCAGTCCAGAAAATTACTAAAAACCAGCACGACCTCTTGTGTGAAGCAGTTCAGTTCTGTTCGGTTTTTACAACCATTAACCATGCGCTTTCGTGCGCCGGTTTGGTTGCTGTCTTTTGGTTCGTGAAGCAAGCCTAATTTTAACAGGATATATCAATGCTTGAGTAGACCGGCTGGCTTCGAGTGAGGTGCATCTTGGAGATGTTTTCGGACTAGATTCCAGTCGCTCGGAAAACAGGAAACGGTCGTTGAATCTACTTTCCGACCACCCCCTATTCCTCACCAGTACGAAACTCTCACTTCCCAAACAACATATGGTGCTTGAACCCCTCTATTCAGCGACGAATGTAAATCAATCACATGACTATAAGCCACAAATGGCGGGGTTGCATACAAAACTATGAACGTACATGAGCACTCCCTCGAATCCGACTACGCATTAGTCTGCGCCATGGCTACCCATGTGCCTCAGTGGGAGTTCTAATTGCATAACAGAACGACGGTTAGACTGTGGTCAGTTATCGGAAACAGCTTACCTATATTGGAAAACGCGCTGGCTGAAAAGATAGTACCAACCCCATACAATAACATTAATCAGTGCTGGTCGCTTATCAAGAATGCTTTGAATTCTGTCAGCTTGATCAGCTGTGGTGTGACAAGTAGTGTCGTGACATTCTGATCTTCCACTGTCTTTTCACTTGCTTGATGCATGCCGGTCAATCTCTAAAACATGCACAAGAAAAACGTAACGAGATGTGAATTCAGCGCAGGTCTACGCAGAAACCGTGAAATTAGGTGGAGTTAACGTGCATCGGAGATGGTAGGTACTGCCTGTTGTGTTTGGTCTTGGCGTACGAATGACACGAGCGACTCTTGCTTACACCCCAACGACTACGCGGAGAAAGAACACAGTCAACGTGTATTCCTCGATTCGATATCGATCCGCAAAACATACGGAGCTAATCGTGCATACGGGAACGGCGCAGTGACGCACCAATCACATTGTGTCCTTGATATATGGATTGATCGATTGGACAAAACATCGGCTGACACGTTCTGTNGTGCGTGTGGCCTGACTCGGAGGTGTGCGCGATCGGACGGGTTGCTTAAGCTCCGTCCTAACACTGCCAACACGGGAAACTACCGCGAATTGTTTTATCCTATTTGAGTCACCGGTAGGAAAACTCTGTGCGTGAGCAAAACGATCTGAAGCTGACGGTTCGCCTATTGCCAATCAACAGCAAAATCTTGCAAGAGGAAGGAGTAAGTTGAGACATCTTTTTATTACATACCTTAGTGTGATGAACAGCAAATGGGCTAAACCCCATAGTCGTGAAGACCTGCTATTCAGATATGTAAGCCGGCAACCGAAGCCCCAGTTGGAGTGGCGAACCATATAAGGCCCCGACAGGTTAGGCGTGGCATTAAATCGGACGACAGTGAAGCTTTCTAGCACCAAAGTTGGGTGGCAGTCATCATCATCATACAGCGAGATACAGTGAAGCGAACTTCATTGATCGCTGCCAATGTATACAAATCAAGTGATAAATGAGCACAAGATGGGGAGGGATTTGGCCTAATTGGAAGGAAGTAAAGAAAGTGAACCTCTATGGTCAACACAGAGTACACAATCTAAGTGTGTATAGCTTTTTAAGTATCCTCACCTAATAAGAAATGACAACAAGAACGCCACTGCTTTCGGTTAATCGCCATATCCTTCAGTGTCTCCAACAAGCCAGTTGCAGAGTCTTTCAGACCCCGACCAGGAAGACGGGAGACATCTACTGTACTTAATCGCTCTGCGCATTTCTTCATTCCTCGTTTCCATGTCACCTGTTAACCTCCACGCGGTTTCCTCCAACCTAGAGCCGCAACTGCGAATAAGGCGCGATGAGGTAGATGAATGCTGAGCATGCGCAATGTGTCCTAACCAGCGCATAATTCAATGGGACAATGATTTCTCCATCAAATTACTACCAACTATGCAACGCCTTACCTCAGAGTTGCTTACAAGCTCGCTCCATCCAACCCGCGCCAAACTACGGAAACATCGGCAGTCGAAGACTTCTAGACAATGAATATCATCCAGCAAATCAAAGGTCTCGCAACCATAAAGCAGAAATGACCGCAAACTGGCGTGGTATATGCGACCTTTCAGTTTCAACGAAGCATTACGTCTGCACCAAAGGTGTTTCAGTCCTTCGTAAGCAACGCTAGCCTTGGAAATGTGGGCGATTACTTCATTGACTATGCTACCGTCATTTTTCATACAATTACCGAAAACCACTATGCCTAGTTCTTGATCACCAAGCATCAGAGCCAGGGTTGACCACACCCGATCTTGTAGCATCACTTTGTCCGTTGAAGGTGCAAGGCGCATACCAAATGGAGTTACATAATTTGAAAGTGTGTCAAGAACACTTTG